TCTAAATAATTGGATTTTTTGCCACAGGATCAGCAAAGATCTAATGTCAAACAGCAATGGGAACTTTTCTACACATTCCACAGATACGTTTGATGCTTACCCAGCACAGAGCATTCTGGCTGAACTTTCTTAACATTCTGCTACACGGACAAAAAAAAAACAAACTCTGCTTTGTTTGTGTTTGTATAAATCAATCACTTATTGGGTGAAGTTAAGCAAAGGATGCAGTGACAGTGTTCTGGCAGCGTGTTTTCATGGAAATTTTGCTTGCAGGGTGACAAGCACTGTCCTTACAATGGACAACTCAGCAGAAAAAAAACTTGCAGGATTGCCTTATTGCAAATAAATCATCAGAAAAACATGAAATTCTCATTGTAGTACTTTGCTGCCTGGAGGTTGTTGTTTCCCATAGTGAATGGGATTTTGAAAATTGTTACTATAGCACAGGGAGAGTGCTGTGTATAAAATGTGTGGCCAAACACATGCTTACACTCATGTAGTGGACTTGATTATTCCACTTGCCGTCACTGCCATTACTTGCCTTGAGCATAATGTATTAATAATTTCCCACTGGGTCTGAACCATAGACTGTACAAGAAAGATGGACATAGCTACTGTGATGTCACCCGTTGGCTTCTGCACAAAGAAAATGAAGCCAGGATTTTGCTACTTCCTGGTTGGCATCTTGGATTTTTGGAGCCAGTGATGAAAAAACGACTGTGAGAGGGCAGAGCCGGAGAGCAGTGATTGGTCAGACGAACTGAGAGCTGGGTGCTCTCTGCCCGCCCACATTTACCTGCTTCTGCTGTGTACCAACGCTAATTTTAACAATGTTAGTGTCTAAAAGTGGGGCTTAACTCTACAAGTGAATGTTAAAGTGGTCTCAGTAACTGGCTGTTTTCTGCCCACATCTGGACGATGTTACATATAAAAGCAGTGACCTGCGTTACTGTAGCGGAAGTTACTGTAAGTTCACATCAGACTGGAGCCTCTGATGGTAAAACATGATCTTACATTGTGTTTAAAAGTTGTTCTGTAAATCTCAGGTTACGTTTTCTGACTTACTGTTAACACTGATTCTACATCAGTTTTATCAGCGTCTTAAATTAGTTACCTGTTGTCTGTGACTAAGTTTCCTGTAGTCACAGCTGATCAATCCTAACTGATTGATTACGTAATTAGACATTTGACTTCTGCCATCTTGTGGCAAATAATGTTCAGCCGATGGAAATTAAAGTAAGCCAACATTCCTTCACAAAACACTGATGAATGTTCTCCCAGCATCACACTGAACCTCAGAGCTCAGTCACAGTTACTTTCTGTTATTTAATGTAAATCAGTCCAGCAGACTATTTTCTCTACAAGAGTGTTTGTCAGATAATTGAGGAGCTCATGCCATCAGAGTGCTGGTTTCCCTTTTTCTCTATTAATCACATTCTCATACATTACAATAAAAAGAATACACTTTATTGTCCATCTAAGGCAGTAAAATGATCTTTAGCCTCAACCAGGAAAACAAAAATTCCCATTAGATTAAAAAATACAAGAAAAACATCACACTTTCTATTTTGCTACAGTCATATCCTGCTGTGTTCACTCTCATCTTTAATGTTCCAGCAGTTGGAATGAAAGAACCTTGTGGATCTGTGTCTCACTGTTTGTGTCTTTTCCTTCTAGCCATGATGTGGATCATTGGGAACATCTAGTCTGCTGTGATCTAAAATCTACAAAGAACAAGAACATTCAGCTGAGGTTGCCTGAGGTGAAGAGTCTTCTCTCCTTCTTCATCCCTAATAGAAAGAGCAGCACTGATGTCCTCCTCATCTGTTACAGTAATAACAATAATGCTAAGCTGCAGTTTCAGCTCCTTGTCTTCATAGAGCACACTTATCTTATGACTGTTAAGTATTTACACTCCACTCTAAGCTGGGCAACACATTTATTTAATCCATTTATTACATACTTTGACACGTTTTTCCAGTTCAGCATTTTTAAATAATGTGCAATAAAGGTATTAATGAAGCTCTTGTCCTGAATGTGTTGATGTTTCAATGCTGCATATCTGCTATAAATATTAACAACATGGTCTCCGTATTGTAATTATGGAACAACAGCAGAGATGAAGTTAAAGGCGATAAATGGAACCTGTGAATACTAAGAACAGAGAATAACAAACTGCTGAATCAGCTGGTCTGTCCTTCTGTAAGTGAAAGCTGAACTGGAAGCGGTTCACTGAGGATGACATCCATTCAGTCTCCTTCACAACCAGATGAACGGCTCCAGATGAGGTTTTCCTTCTGCTGGTTCTACTCAGATCTTCAGTGAACATGAGACACACCTGAGGTGAAGAGAGACATCAAAGTGTCAGCATCAACAGCAGAGGTTCATTTATATTAACCGTGGAAACATCTAATATTTCATGTATAGTTTTCCAAACACTTAAAAAGAGAAACATCCGTAGTTGCTTCACATTTTTCTTCAGCCTCTCTGTGCTGCATTTTAAATGGTACACTGAACTGTGATGTCAGTCACTACATTGGTATTGTTCTGGGTGTTTATTCTTCCAATCTACACTGCAGTAAGAAGAACTACATGTGCATCAGTCATTAAACAACCAACTGTCCAACAACACGTTAAAGATCAGAGTGTAGATGAACTGTTTTATCCAGTTTTACATCAGACACAGCAGATATTCAGGACTACTGCCAACGTAGAGCGTTAACATTACTGTTATAAACACATTTAACTTTCCTAAATGTTATGTTAATGTGAACCAGCGTCTCCACAGACATTTTCATTAACTTTACTAACTTTTCCTTTGTTATACAGTAACACAACACACTTCAGCCTGATTACAAGAAACACAACACAAACATCATTTGCTTAATGCTGCTACGTTTAATTTTAATCAGGTTACAACTGGTCAGCCAGCTCAGTTTGGATCATTAATTTGCATTAAAGCTAATATTTACTGAATGCGAACTCAATACACACAGAAGTAAACTGCACCACCTTATGCACACATTACATCTGAAGCTAAAGTTGCAGTTGAAGTGCATTAAAATCGGCACTATAAGAAAATAAACATTTACTTACCGAACGGATCCTTTCAGTGTCTCTGGTTCAATCAGCCAAAGGTCCAAATTACGGTGAACTGAAAACTGGTTAAAACAAGCCAGTGGACAGTAAAACTGTTTGTGGAAAATGTGCTGCTACCCCTGGGTAAAAAATGACTAACAGTTAATCCAAACGAGGAGGAGACCTGAGTCTATGGTGAATGAGAGTCAAGGCTGCCTCCCTGTGACCTGTCAATCATTCCAGTGGAGGCTGTCAATCAAATAGCCACGCCCCCCATATGAGGGACACTTTGACGATTTATATAAAATTCAATATTGAATTATTTTCAGATTGGCCACCTGATCTCTGGGTTTGACCATGAAAACTAATGAAAAAATAATAATCCTGAGCAGTATTAAAGCTTACTTTCATGATCTGTACTATCCTGTTTAGAACTGGGGTCTATGGGAGCCAGAGCTTTTTGGAGCCAGCACCTGTTGGCCGTAGTGGTACTGCAGGTTTTTGACACTTGCGGGTTGACTTCATTTTTCAGTGCCGGTTGCTAAGTCCATCTTTCTTATAGTCTATGGTCTGAATGTCACATCAGTGTCCTCTGCTGGGCGTAATTTCTGGACCGTATTACGACAAGGTTGGCTGTGAGAGACCTAATACAGGTCTATCACAAAATTAAACGGCTGGTTGGAGCCTAAGACTGAACGCTTTTTTCCTTTTTAATATAACTCTCATACGCTGTATGCATATAGGAAACATGATTATTGGCCGATGTATCAATATCAGAATTGTTACTCCTAAGAAATCCAGTATCAGACAGACTCGTTGACGAATTAGTGAAACAGAACAGATGTCCACTTTTCTACACAATACACAGGGAAGTGTGATGCTTGTCCAGTGAAATCTCTCTGAATGAAGCTGCTGCCCTCATCAGCCCTGACATTTGTTTTTCACAAACTCTGTAGATCACAGGTTCACATCTCGCTCTCCTAATCAGTGAAATTAAATATGCCAACTGCGGCTTGTAGTAGAAAACACTACTTTCATATCCTCTAACTCTGCATGGGCATGTTTTATTATTCAGTTCATGGGTGACTCCAACACAACCTCTATTGACATGTACGACCCTGTGCGTATAATCAGAACTGAACTTGTTAATTCATACATTTAATTTTGGAAAATCATGAAATCTTTCACTAAATTCCTTTTAAATAAAAGTGACAGCAGTTATTTCTGTTACAGACTAGCTTGTCTGGCAACAGGGGCTAAGCTAAGACCATCAAAGCTGTACAAACCTAATGTGTGTAACGTTATCTGTGGTTTCCAGATGATATCCAGCAGTCTGCGCTGACGATTGATCTCTTCCTCGTACTGGACGATGGTTTTTTCAAACTCTGAGAATATTTCTTCAGCAGCAGCACTTAGTCGCTCGTTCATAAACTGTCTCAAACATTGAGCTGAAGACATTCTGACATCAACTACTGACATATTTATCTGTGACGCGACAACACAACCGTCTTTGAAAACTTCCACACATCAGTAAAGCTGACAGCCGCCAGCGCTCGAACTTCACTTCTTCCGGGTGTCTTCTTCTTCGTGGTCTTCAAATAAAATCTGTAGTAGAATGGACGCAGCGGCGGCGTGTTGCTGCCCCCCACAGGCCATTTGTAGACCTACACTAAAGATAGAAGATGCAGTATGAGAATCAAGTGAAAAAAAAGAACAGGACAATAAATACAAAAGTAGAATAAATATGAAGGTAAAGCTCATTTTAGGATCTATTTATTAGTTTTGTTTTTTAATAATTACAGTTTGTTTGTATATTTTAGATGTTTATTTGACAAGGGTACTTTTATTTGTTAGTGACTTATTTAGTTTCATTTTTGTTTGATTATTGTTTTTTTTTTTCATTATAAATTATTATTATCATTTTGTAGCAAGAGGAACAACAGAACCGGTGGTTCCTTGTTTTATGTTTATTTGTTTATTTGTTTACCTGCTTGCATTTCATCAATGACCCAACAAAATGGATGATAAACTTGTTTTCACTGCATTCCCATGTTTTACCAGTTGCTCTTCATATTGAGTTTGAGTTAGATTTTTGACAAATATTAATTGCAGTTGGGGTTTCAAGTATATTTTTTGCAGCTAACTGTTATTTACAATCAGTAAAAGTTGGACTTTTTAAAAATAAATTTGTAAGGCTTTAATGCTTAATGTTTACACACCTGATTCAAATGATCAGGATCGATGTCAGGCTTCTGCAGAGCTTGATGATGAGCTGATCATTTGAATCAGGTGTGTTGGAAGAGAGAAACATCTAAAACATGCAGGACTGTGGCCCTCGAGGACCAGGATTGCCCACTCCTGTTCTACCTGTTCTAATGGGAAGTGCTTTGTCGTGATAACTGTTACTTTAAATGTGCTGTATGAACAAGTCACTTGAAATGAAATGTTTTAGGTGGAACTAAAGTTTCCTGTCCTCCACTGTCGGACCTTCACAGTGTGACACCCAGCTGAAGTAAAGGCCAGCAGCGTTTACTGCACTGATGTGTGGAAGTTATTGAAGGCTGCTGTGTTGTCGCATCGTAGACAAATATTTCAGCTGCTGGAGTCGCGATGTCTTCGGTTCTGTATCTGAGAGAGTTGATCAGCGAGCGACTAACTGCTGCCGCTGAAGAAATATTCACGGAGTTTGAAAAAATAGTCGTCCAGTACGAGGAAGAGATCGACCGTCAGCGCAGACTGCTGGATGTGTCCTGGAAACCCGACATAAAGATACGCACAGTAGGTACGTAAAGACATGACGGGTTTAGCGAAGTGAAAATGACTCATGTAGGATCCTAATTAGAGTTTAGGGACTTGAGATGAAACAGGAAGCTAACAACACACACATTTGCAGGCGACCGGCTAGCATGCTAACGGGGCTAGCTGACAGAGGCAACGCTGCGTGAACTGTTGTGTGTAGCGACAGAAAGCTGACAAACTAACGGGACAGCAGGACGTGCGTTTGTGGTGTTCGAAGTTTCTGGAAGTGTTTTCTTTTCCTAAACTCAGCCCTGCTAACGTGGCTAACATTAACCTAGCCACCGTCACCACCAGAGCTAGAACCTATTAACTGCTGTCAGTTAAATAATTGCATGAAGTTTGGTGAAAAACTTTGTGCCTTTGCAAATCCACTTGTATATGTGTTTAAAGGTCCAGTCTGTCGTGTTCTGTGCACATGTGAGGATCCTAATATCAAAACACAGGTTAATCATGTCAACAAGTATAGCGCTGATTATGTGCACAGAGTGATGCATGTAAATAGAAGGTGGGATCTGTGTTGTGGTCTGTATAAAAATAAATATCTTTAACATATTGGCCGATAATATCGATCAGGCTCAGGGTTTGGACTTTTTCCAACAGTAAAATAAAAATGTCCCGGCAGGCTTCATGGTACTCAGCCCTTTTGAAGAAAGCAGCTTTATTCCAACCGATTTGACTGGATACACTAATATGTGTGATGTCTAGAACACAATTCATTTACCATTAGATCTGTACTGATCCTGTAGTTATTGCGGAATAATGCATGCATACATATGGTCAATCATTTGGAACTCATGTCATTTCCGCTCCTGTGTAATGCTCTAAGTATCGAATAGAAAATAATAGTGAAAGTCTGTTTGCATCCAACAATCTACTCTTGGGCTTAATTTGGATGAAATGGCAGTTTGTAGATGATTTTCCTTGCAGTGGAATGATTTGTTTCAAATATTTTGGAGATCTTTTCAAATCCTCTGTGAGACTTGTAAACATCCACCATCTTTATTTTGAAGATTATAGAGAACTCCCCAGATCTTGACAAGATCGCTACAACAGCAAAGTTGAACAGCAGAGCCTGGATATCAGAGGTTTAAATAAGAGGTTCCACCTGATGTTGCACATGATCTGGCTACCTGAATGTTTTCTACGCTGAGCTTTACCAACAAGAGTGTCACAACTCAAGAGTCGCTCACACTGGTGCACCCAAATAGTTGTCCTCTTTTGCACAGTTTAAATTTCACATGCATATGTGAGCGACATGCTTGTACTGTAGAGCCCCACTAATGGTGAGAATATATATTTTAAATGGTTTGTTTTTCAGTCATCACTTGGTAACTTTTATCGTGTGTCCATTTGCTCCTACAGACCTTCCACATCAGCATGTCTCTGCAGAAGAGGGGGTTCTCTCTGACCAACAGCGCTTCATCCGGGAGAGGAACTCTGGTCTCAACCGGGAAGACCCACAGCTTCCACAGATTAAAGAAGAACAGGAAGACCTCTGCACCAGTCATGAAGGAGAACCAATTATACTGAAAGAGGAGAGTGACGTCTTTATGGTGACTCCTACTTATGAGGACAGTGACCACAGCGAACCAGAACCAAACAGTGACCAGCTCCTCTCTCATTACTCTCCTTTAGCTGAGAGCCCAGATCAAGAAGGAAGCAAGCATGCAGACTCGGGATCAAGTGGGAATGCAGAGCCGAAGCTGAAGTCTGTAAAATGTGATGTTTGTGGAAAATGCTTTAAGTATAAGTACCAAATGGAGAGACATCACAATATCCACACAGGTGAGAAGCCGTATGCTTGTAACTATTGCGGGAAAAGATTCTATCAGATTCATTTTATGAAATATCACGAAAGAATCCACACAGGTGAAGGGTCATATTCGTGCAAGACGTGCGGGAAAAGTTTCAGTTTTAGTTCGCAGCTGAAACTCCACATGAGAATCCACACAGGTGAGAAGCCGTATTGTTGTTCAACATGTGGGAAAAGTTTCAGCTTTAGCTCTCAGCTGAAAGCCCATATGAGAATCCACACAGGTGAGAGGCCGTACTCTTGTGAAAGATGTGGGAAAAGATTCAGATTTAGCGATAAATTGTTGGTGCACATGAGAATCCACACGGGTGAGAGGCCTTTTCCCTGCGACATCTGTGGGGAAAGATTTATAGACTCGTCAGCACTAAGAAATCACCTAAGAACGCATAAAGGTGATAAGTCGTCGTCCCGAAACGTCAGTGGGAGCCAAGCTTGAAAAAAAAAAACCTGAAAGAATTTGTTCAGGTTAAAAGTAGATCTTTGAGATTTAAAAGCGCCTTTCGACTGTACTTCAACAATGATCCTGTGAGTTTATTGCATGTCCATCTGTGTCGAACTGCACGATCGATTTGAGGCTGTCAAACTGTTCAATGGATTTGTGGTGAATCTTCCCAAAGAACATTTCATTTTTACTTTTAACAATATTCCATTGTTGAGAAAAAAAAAAGTATTTAAAAAAATGTCATGTTAAAAGTCTTCACTTGTGTGAACAGATGTGAACTTCTACAAGAAGCAAAGTATAAAGCTGTCATGGATTCAATGAGTTACGCTGTGGGCAGTAACAAGTCCTGGTTTTTTAGCCTGTATTTGTTTACATTGTGCAAAATGAAGGTCACTGAATCAGTTATCACATTTTTAGCTGTTTATCGTTGGATGTACCAAAAACTATCACTAACTCACTTTGATACTGAAGAAATAATATAAACCTCAAGATTTTCAGGCTACTTCTGAACTGTTCCAACTGCTGCACCATCAGTGTATTGCTCATTATCTCTCTTATTCTGAGATAGTTTTGTTATAATTGCTAGATATGTATCTCGTACTTATGAGACCTTTTCTGTAATTATGAGATAGACTCTCGTGTTTATAAGTTAAGGTCTCCCAACTTTGTTTTTCTTTTGTGAATGCAATGTGTCTTGTGAATGTAAACTTGATTTGAAACTTAAAGGGTGTCATTTATTCATATATTTACTATGTATCGATAATCAATTGCTTCTCTAGTCACCCATTTTAATAGCTCAAGTTTTTTTAAAATCTTATGTTAAAGGTGCTATATCAATAAAGTTTCTCTACTCAAAATATTATATCAAGAATGTTTCTTTTAAAGCTTCAACAAAACACAAGGGGCTGACAAAGAAAGCCTAGCTGCGGGCTGTATTATGAAGCAAAATTAATGGGTTGGCGAGGTGAAGAACAAGTTTTTGATGGTGGCTTCCCTTTAACTTGCTAGATCACCATGGCAACTGATGCTGTACAGCAAAGCAGAGGGGTTTACGGCACAGCAAGTCTGACACAGATGATGGGTATCACAATCATGGCTGTCCGCTTTTTTTGTTAACCAGGTTTTCTCTATCTGAGTCTGAGCGTGCTCCTCCAAAACAGGGCGTTTGATGCATCATGTCAATCTTCTCACAAAATAATCTGATGTTGTGCCGCCGAGTTCAGTCAAGAGTAACAGGTTGTTCCACTGGAGAGTTTTGAGGAATATAAAAATGTTTTATGGTAAAACGCACTGTTTCCAATTTGCTGCCAGGTCAGTGTTACACTGTACTTCTAATTGGCAACTAGTATTATCTCATTAGAGTTTTAGCTGATGAGAATCTGAAACGGATTTATTGATAAGTAGAGATTTTTTAAATGAAGGGAGATTTAAAAAAAATAAAAAATCCAAGGAGGTTTAGTTCAGATACTAAAAAGTGTGAGAAATATTCACAGTGTGCCGGAATGTGCAAATAATTCAACTGAGAATGTTCACATTTACATAGTATATAGTGTGGGAAAAAAAACTTGACATGGGCAAAGGATAATCCACCTGTTTAAAAGGCATTAATGCAGTGCATTTAGTTTACAGTGGGAGGAGAGAGGCAGCATCACCGAGGATCTGTCCAGATACTCTTTGGAATATAATAACACCAGAATCAAAAACTGATAGAAAAGTTGCCTCAATAAGGAAATTAGAATTAATTTCCCTATTAGAAATTGTATGTTAATTAAGGTGTAAACACAAGTGTTTTAAAAAGAGAGAGAGAGAGATGTTAAAAGGTGTACACATCGGAAAGAACGGTCCTCCTCCGTCGGACCTTTACAGTGTGACACCAGGCGGGAATAAACAATCCTTCAGCAGCGTTAGTTTTACTGATGTGTGGACTGAGTTGGAAGAAGGTTGTGTTGTCTTGTCTCAGAAGAATATTTCATCACTTGAAGTAACGATGAGTTCAGTTCACAATCTGAGAGAGTTCATCAGCGAGCGACTAACTGCTGCTGCTGAAGAAATATTCTCAGAGTTTGAAAAAACCATCGTCCAGTACAAGGAAGAGATCGATCGTCAGCGCAGACTGCTGGATGTCATCTGGAAACCACAGATAACGTTACACAGGACAGGTATGTAGAAATGTGTTTTTTTAAAAAGTGAATGTACAAGACAGAAGAGTGACTGAACTAGAAGATGAGTCCAGAGTTTAGAAACATGACGCTGGGAGCTAACAGAGACCACACACACATGCTAACGGGGCTAGCTAACCGAGCTAACTCTAAGTGAGCTGTTGTGTGCAAAAAGGAAAACACGACAAGTTAGGACACGACAGGACGTGTATTTGTTGGGTTTGGATTTTCTTCTCTACTCAGCCATGCTAACATTAGCCTAGCCACCGTAGCCAACCTGTTGACAACAGAGAACCAGCTAACACAGAAGTTGCTGTCGGTGAAATCCATCCAGTTTTCTCTTGTGTATCTCGTTCTAAAAGTATAAACTTTAAGGCAAAACATCTCCCTGAAAATACTCCAAAGTCTTTCTTACACTGCAGCTCTGATTAGTGGTACCATGGATTCACTAGACCTGCTGACTATTGCTGCTGCTCCTCTGCTGTTTGGTTGGTCACTAATCCTCCTGTGTCCTTTTCCGTTTTTTCAAAAGTCTCTCAATCTGATTTTTCAGTTCCTTTGGTAACTTTTCCCCCCATATGGAGCCACGATGCAGACAGATGCACTCCATAGATCCAAACCTGACACAGCTCTATTGTTCACAGCTCATGTAGTTACCATGTTCATGCAGTGAGGCTGACTGAAAATCACAGGTGGACTCTGTTTAATTTCAGTGATCACAGGGGTGTGCTCTTTATTTCTCACTTTTGGGCCAATGTTTTCAATTTACACACATGTACAACATAGGGTTGTACAGCTGTGGTGGTCTTAGTTTAGCCCCTGTAGCCAGACGATTTAATCTGTAACAGAAATAACTTTTTGTCAATATCAAAATGAACGTAACAGTAGACTGTTGTGTTGTTATGTTTAAAAAGATACGACTATTCACACTGTTTACTTTCTGGGTATTTAGCAGTGGGTTCTGAAGAAAAAATGTCTACAAACATCTGCCTCATGCATGCTTGTATCACCAGATAGTCTGAAAATCAGTGTAACTTGACCAGTGATACAGGTAGTTACTGCTTCAGCCATTGTGGGTGAAAGTTGTTCTTCAATGGCTCAATCTCGTCAATGTGGGGTCTCCCTTTGGTGATAAAAGATGCCAGCTATGGCTGGAGAAACAGGGTTTGCTTATTCAGTGTAGCTAACAGAAAGAACACTACCAGGTATTCTTGTTTAGCAGAGGCTGTGATGTTAAAAGCTTGTTCAGGTGAAGAGTGAACTGGAAATATCGGAGTAATGACCTTTATTTTCCTGTAAATGAAATGAAACAAATGGTTTTGATTGTAACGATGTGAAATGTAACTCAAAAGGCACTCTAATAATTGGCAGTTTTGTACAGTTTAATTTTCACTTGTGAAGAACATGTTGCTTTGTAGAGTCTTTCCATTGATTCAAACTAGAATACATTTGCTATGATGTGTGTTTTCCCATCATCACATTAGTAAACTTTTTTGTGTCTCTTTATGCCCTCAGAACTCACACAGCAAGATGTCTATATGGAGGAGAAGGTTCTCACTGATCAGCAGCTCTGTAACCAGGAGAGGAATTTCAGTCCGGACCAGGTGGACCCAGAACCTTCACAGATCAAAGAGGAACAGGAGGAGCTATGCACCAGTCTGGACCAGTTAGACCCAGAACCTCAGCAGATGAAAGAAGAGCAGGAGAAATTCTGCATCAGTCAGGAAGAAGAGCAGCTTGTACTGCAACAGGAGACTGATACCTTCATGGTGACTACTACCTTTGACGAAAGTGTCCACAGTGAAGTAAAACCAAACAGTGACCTGCTCCTCTGTCACAACTCTCCTATAGCTGAGAGCCCAGATCATGAAGGGAGTAACCATGTAGACTCAAAATTAACTAGTGAAGAGCCTAAGCCAGAGAAGGGACACCAGAGAAACAGAAGTCACAGTAGCAATGTAGAAAACTCTTCCGTGTCTGACAGCCACTGTTATACTAACACGGGGAAGTCTATAGAATATGATGTTTGTGGAAAAGCCTTTAAGGAAGATTATCAAATGAAGAAACATCACAGAATCCACACAGGTGAGAAGGCATTTTCTTGTAAAACATGTGGGAAAAGTTTTAGTTGTAATGCTCACCTGAAAGTCCACATGAGAAACCACACAGGTGAAAAGCCGTATTCTTATAAATCATGTGGGAAAGATTTCAGAAGTAGTGATCAATTGTCTGTCCACATGAGATTCCACACAGATGTGAAGCCATATGAATGCAACACTTGTGGAAAGAAATTCTATCAGATGTCAGCCATGAAAATTCACAAAAAAACTCACAACGATGAGAAGCTGTATTCTTGCAAAACATGTGGGAAAAGTTACACTCAGTGTGGTAGTTTATTGCACCACATAAGAACTCACACAGGTGAGAAGCCTTACTTGTGCAGCACCTGTGGGGAAACATTTACAGATGCATCAACACTAAACAATCACATAAAAACTCACACAAGCGTAAAGCCGCATTCTTGTGAAACTTGTGGAAAAACTTTCAGTTTTCGCTCTCAGCTGAAACGTCACATAAGAATCCACACAGGTGAGAAGCCCTACCTCTGTAACACGTGTGGGAAAAGATTTGCGGACTTATCAACATTTAAAAAGCATGTGGCGGTCCATACAGGTGAGAAGCCATATTCTTGCGAAAAATGTGGAAAATGTTTCACTCAAAAGAGTAACTTAACTGGCCACATGAGAACGCACACAGGTGAGAAGCCTTTCTCCTGTAACACCTGTGGAGAAAGATTTAGTTTCAATGCAGGGTTAAAAGCTCACATGAGAAAGCACTTTTTTTTAAAACATCAAGTGTAAGAACAACTCACTTCTTGTACTGAACAATTCTGATTATGTGGGTGTGGGAAGTAACTGAGTACATTTACTCAAGTATGACATGACTGTCCTTAGAAAACCAAGATTCCATCTAAAGTGTGCACATATGAAATCTGTTTTATGTTAAACATACTTCTACTTTATCATATTACACAGGCAAACACTTACGGTTTAATTCACAATACTCATACAACATTTGATGTCTAGTTAGACTGTAAGTATGCAAAGGTAAAAATAAAATAAATTGACCTTGACTGGTTGTTTTTAAGAAATGCTGTTTTTAGCAACAGTTCGAATTACAAGTTTGTCTCTGATTCTCTGGTGGTGTTGTGTATGTGTTCCCTCTGACCGCACCCTCTAAAAATGATGACGTGGACGTGCGATCAGAGTGATTGAGAGCTGTGAAGCCCAGACTTAATTTGTGACTGTTGTCTATGGAACATTTAATTGCAGAGGGGAAAGGACATTTTGTTGTTGTAGATTTTAAAAATGACAGTGAATGAACTAAACCTGTGCTGTTGCAATGTTTTGCATTTATAACACACTTGGTGCTATTTCCATCATTAAAACTTTGAATGAATGAATGAAATACTGATGCTGTGATTTCAGGGGAAATGTGGGTTCATTCATCTAAATGTGACTTAATAATCCAAATATTGGATTTTTCCAAAATATTAAATTCTTTTTGTGTTTGTGTAGATTCTCAGTTATTCAGGTCATGGTAATCCTTTGTGCTCCAGTACAAGGACACTGAATTTAATTTAGGCTCTTGAAGCCGTGTAATCATATTGAAGCTTTCTCAGTTTTGAATGGTGGGGAGTTCCAGGTATTTATTCTCACCCTCCACTCACATGGCTCAGGGACGGGCTCTACAACCATGTGTCCACCATATAAAATGAAGTCCTGATATCCTTCCTTAGACAGTTTGACAACTGTTTGCTAACCAGCCTTGATTTTTGTGACTTGGGAGTGATAATAAACACCATTACTGCACCACTGAGGTTAAAGACACTCGTAGTTTCAGTAATCCTTTAATCAATCAATCTGAGGAATCGGGGTTGAAAAAAAAAGTTCTTGTCAAACTATTTTAATACAAGTAAGTTTATTTCTAAAGCACCTTCAAAAACACCACATCATACATCTTTTACAATTAATGCCATTTCTAAATCAGAGGTTGATGCAAATCACAAAATCCATACAAGCATTCAATCATGCTCTGAACAAACGAGGGATGACTCCAGAGGCCTGCACTACGTAGCAAGTTCAACATATCCAGGATATCTGACTGGCTTTACTAAACCTAACTACTGCAGCTCGGCAAAGCTGGCTATCAACTTGTCAAATCAACCAGGCTCCGAACATAGCTTAGTATCACTGTCCCCATGTTGTGTGTAAGCTGCTTAGAAGGAGGTTTCTTATTCAAGATTTAAGATTCAGTTTATCATCACAAGATTGTATTACAAAATAAAAGATGCAGTCCCTTTATGCTACTCATTAAAAAAGGCAAAATCAAAGAATAAATAATCAAGTAATAAAAATAAAACTACTTCCATGGTGATGTGGAGGATAAAATCAGGAATCTCACTGCCAATCTTAAACAGCTCTGGGAGCAAGTAAACCACAGATATTAAAACGTCATTGAAACCCATAAATAAACTTACTGCAACTCATATAAGGTCAACAGGTAGGCTGTAAAGCTTTACTGTTTTAATCAGTTTCTGTTTTATGATTATGTTGCTCTACAATAGCATACAGAACAATAAACTGGCTTTAAAGTTGCTGCTCTAAAAACTCTTAGGTGTTCAGCATAAGTTACCATGGAAAGAAGTGACCAGCATCATAGCCTTGAAAACCCCAAGTTAAACCTGAAGCTACCCTGCTAACCCCAAATCCAGCTTCGTAATACAGGCCTCCATTGACACAGAGCACTAGAAGTTTTCTCATCTTCAACAACAGAGTTCATGTGTGTGTTTTTTTAAAATAAAGTTTAGATGCGCACACAAACCAAAATAATAGAGGAGACTTAAAAGTAGAATGCAACATACTTCTATACAAGTCACCATGTACCCACTGTACAGTTTGACACAGACAGAAACCAGAATTTATTAGACCATCTCTCACAATGTCACATGCAACAAACTCTAAAGAATATTGTTGAACCACAGTCTTAAGGGGCTTTAAATCTGAAAGATCTACCTTTTTTGTAAAAGCATTTTTGAAGCTGTGTTCTCACAGATGTTTCTGGAGTGTGACATCTCACCTGTGTGAGTTCTTACGTGATTTTTTAGAGTTGTTGCATATTGAAATCTTTCTCCACAGGTCTCACAGGGGAAAGGTTTCTCACCTGTATGAGTTCTCATGTGAGCTGTCAAATGGCATTTGTGTCTAAAGGTTTTTTCACATGTTTTACAAGAATAAGGCTTCTCACCTGTGTGGATTAAAGTATGCCTTTTAAATGCTGACGAGTCAGAAAATCTTTTCCCACACATGTTACAAAGGTACGGCTTCTCACCTGTGTGGATTCTCATGTGTGTTTTCAGTGCTGACATGGAATTGAACCTTTTCCTGCAGGCTTTGCAAACGTAAGGCTTCTCACCTGTGTGGGTTCTTATGTGGGCCAACAAAATCGCATTACTTGAGACAAATTTACCACATATTTTGCAGGAATACGGTGTCTCACCTGTGTGGATTGCTGTATGTTTTTTAAATGCTGTCAAGTCAGTAAATCTTTTTCCACAATAGTTACAAGCATACGGTTTTTCAGCAGTGTGAATTAATTTATGCTTTTTAAATGCTGAAGAGGCAGAAAATCTTTTTCCACAAGTGATACAAAGGTACGGCTTCTCACCTGTGTGAGTTCTGTGGTGTTTCTTCATTTCTGACCTATACCTAAAGGCTTTTCCACAAACATCACATTTAACACACTTTTTCTCTGTGTCAGTATTACAGGGACTTTCCGACGTGGGAGAGCCGTATACACTGTGACTGCTGTTAGTGTCATGTCTACTCTTTGTCTTCAGCTCGACAATTCCAGTTGATGCTGATTTCACATATTTGCTTCCATCCTGATGTGGGCTTTCAGCTACTGGAAAGCTGTGAGAGAGAACTTGGTCACTGTTTGGTTCAGGTTCACTGTGGTCACTGTCCTCATAAGTAGGAGTCACCATACAGATATCAGTCTCCAGCTTCACTACAAGCTGCTCTCCCTCCTGACTGGTGCAGAGTTCCTCCTGTTCCACTTTAATTTGTGGAGACCCTGGGTCCTCCTCATTCAGACTGGCGCAGAGTTCTTCCTGTTCCTCTTTAATTTGTGCAGGCTCTGGTTCAACATGGTCCAGACCGGTGCAGAGTTTTTTGTGTTCTTCTTTAATTTGGGGAGGTTCTGGGTCCTCCCGGTCTAGTCTGAAGCTCCTCTCTTGGTTACACAGCTGCTGCTCAGCGAGAACCTCCTCCTCCTTACACACATGTTGCTGTGTGATGTCTGGATGGACAAAGGGATGCAAGAAAAAGATCACTAACTTGATGATAGAAAACACACTATGATTTGAGCAAATACTTTTTTGTTTAAACATTAAACCAGGTTTTAGTTTACATCTCTAAGATAACAACCAAAAAATACACAATTTATTAATAAATTAATTAACAATTACTTTTCACCATATGTGAACTTTGATTCACCTGCTAATATCCTGTTTGTTGCCCACATCTAGCTGTGTGTCAGAACATTCCATAGTAGAACCTGCAGCATCACACAGCACCAGAAACAATGACTCTAATGTCTATGACGTAGAGTTGTAGAAACAAGCATTGGTACCCCTGATGTGTTATTCGTTTTCTGATGATTCACCAGAGAAAACTTTTAAAAATGGCATTTTGGGTAAAATTTCAAGGGGTCATGTCTTTTGGTTGACTTAATGTGACACAGCCCAAATGAAAATCTTTGGAAGCGTACTGTAGAAAAGTCTATCCCACACTTGTCCTGATACAGAAAAAATATTTAGAATTAGTGCAAAATCACCAGTTATTCAAACCCATAACCTCCGTGTTGGGGACTGTAGCCCCCGGCCAAGGGACACCAGCCCGACCAGGTGAGCTATAGCGGCGTCCCTAAGCAACCTTTATCTGACCAGCAGGCTTAATTAAACCACCTGGCAGGCATGTTCGTTATGACCAACTTTGAACATCATTGTCATAGTTTCAAGCATATATACTATCCAGTTTAATGTCTATGACATAGAGTCATAGAAACAGTCACTGGTACCCTGGATGTGTTTCTGTTTTCTGACAGTTCACCAGAAAACTAAAAAAGAGCATTCTGGGTAAACTTTAAAGGCTCATATCAGCATGTGTGATGGTGGTTGGTCAGAACAAGTTTAGACAATGAAAGGTTTCATTGTTTTGATACCAGGACCATTTTCTAGACACGATTCCTTCCTCAAATATTATCATATTTTAACACTTGTAAATGAAGCTTCTGGCTGTGCAATAGAGAAACAACATTAGCGTCTGTAATGGAAATTTATTGTCTTGATATAACCTGATAGTAACTTGTTTTGTAAGGGCTTATACATGTGCCTATAGTGTCTTTGTGTAACCCAATGTTTTAGCTCAACAGGTCATTCTTAGGCTCCCAGCAGTGAAGGTGCTGTGGCCTTCCACGTCCCTGCTTGGCAGTACGGTGTTTCTGATAACTGGGAGCTGCAGGATGTTTTGCACCTTGACTTTCTTCTCCTCTTCCTCCCTTTGCTAGGATCTAGCAACAGTCTTTGTTCTTTTCAGACAGATATCTCTAGTCACATACCCTCATGCTATGTTAGGATTATCCTGTCTATGCCTACATAGGATTGCACATTGTGACCAAGCTTCAGACCTCACTCTGCCGTTCTCCTCTAAAGTGATTTCTCTTGTACACAATAAAGGAAGATCAAGAAGCAACGATCCTGACCAAGTGTGTTTATTATGTTGTAGCCTCCGCAACAGCGTTCACATGTTTTATATCATAGTTTGGACGGATCACGTTTATCAAACTAATCTAAAGCATTCAGTGCTTGTTTGAGAGTCTTTCAAACTCTGATAGTGTTTAGTTCTTGTTTTATCAGTTTGGACAAATGGGATACACCTGTGAAAGTTTACCCAAATTGCATTTTTTTTTCTCTTCTTAATTTATCAGAAAACAGACACAATCCAGACACAATTTTTAACCTTTCTTTTTTTCTTTTTTTTTTTTTTAAATGTCATGTGTCTAACTGCTGCACTGATGAAGTTATGAAGCTCAGAAATGATGGAAAAAGTCAGTAAACTGTGAAGTAGGGTCTGTAGCTCTGAATACATTCACATTATGAAGGTAAAACTTGCATAGTTTCATTGAATATATTTAAATTATTGTACATAAAAAGAAATCAGCTGATTCTGAGGTCTGTCAGATCGTTAATGAGCTGCAGAATGATGTGACTGATGACTGACTGCATCTTCATTTCTGTCTGTGACACCATAAACTGTGACACTCAGAGCTCTGATGAGGATCCTACATGAGTCCTATTCATCAGTTAGTTCATCCAGACCGTCACAGTTCCACATACCTGTCGTGTGTAACGCTATCTGTGGTTTCCAGATGTTATCCAGCAGTCTGCGCTGACGATCGATCTCTTCCTCGTAATGGACGATGGTTTTTTCAAACTCTGTGAATATTTCCTCAGCAGCAGCAGTTAGTCGCTCGTTGATCAGCTCTCTCAAAGCTGAAGACATTCTTACTTTAACTACTGAAATATTCATCTGCGACACCAGCAGCACCGCCGTCTTCCAGCTCAGTCCGGCCGGATGTAAAGCTCGCGCTGCTGACTCTGTTTACTTCCGCATTGTGACGTCGCTTCATGACAGCAGGAGGGGCCGCCTGGTGGTGGAAAACCGGAACTACAGCAAAGCTACACTTTCTGGTGTGCATCTACCTCGGTGGCAAGCAGCAAGAAGGTCGCCGGGTCGCGTCCCGGTGAGGACTCCCGGGATCTTTCTGCGTGGAGTTTGCATGTTCTCCCCGTACAACCATGGTTCTCGAGCCCTGTGATAGATTGGTGACCTGTCAGCTGGGATAGGCTCCAGTGAGGATTAAGCGATGCATAGATAATGGATGGATGGATCTGCCTCATCAATTTGTGTGTTTTTAACTAACATATTAGTTGCAATTACTCAATAAATCATCAACCAGTCATTTTCAGAAGCAGCTTCATTGTCCATGTTTTTGCACACATACACAATTTACTACAGGTTCTCTTTGCTCTCAAAGTACATACATAAAATAGAACAGCATGCATTTAAACAAGAACAATAGGTTGTAAGGGGAAAGTTTAACTACTAGAACGTTTAATGCAAAATAAATACAGACTTTTTACCACCTCACACACTTGAGGTAGGAGCAGAGAGCAGGTTGCTGTGGTGAAATATGAACGGTGCTCTGATTTGGGCTGTCTTGTGGTTAAGATTAATAAGATGAAATGAAAAATACTTTATTTATCCCAGAAGGGAAATTCAATAAGATCCAACTTTATTAGTCCCCAACTAAATTCTTGGGCAAGATATTGCTCAGAAAGAACAAATGACATAAGAAATGCAGTGTCTAAAAAGTAGGAAAGCAATAAGATATGAGTATGATACATTACTGAAATAAAACAAAATAAAGTAAGGCAAGACAAGAACAGTAAAAAATAAATGCTGGCAATTATACTGAAGTAATAAGGAATATGACACGGCAATGAGAATCAAAATATTGCGCTATACATTGACAATATTGTACATAAAGCTTAAATATGATACACGAGAAGTTAAAGTATAAAATATTGCACGTTACATATTGTACATGAAATGGAATGCTACACATGGTACTGAAACTGATGTTACACAAACTACCGAGAGTAATATTACAAACGATGTTGATAACATTGTGTAGATCTAAGTGTCTGATGTTTCAGACGTCATCATCGTTAGACAGAAGTATGTAAACGTAATATTATTTACTTTCCACCCATCCACTTTTATTATAAATATAATTATTTGTTGTGTATTGATTCATTTTATTGTTGTTGTTCAGAATCTGTTCTATATATTTTTTTGTTTGTTTTGTTTGTTTGTTTGTTTGTTTGTTTGTTTTTTTAGAAAAAGAGAAAGTTATGAAAAGATGCACAGGGCAGAACTAAAGTGAAGTGTCCTGCTCTGCCGGACCTTCACAGTGTGACACCCGGGCGGAAGTAGCGCCTGCAGCGTTAGCTTACAGATGCGTGGAGGCTTTGTTGTCGTATCACCGATGAATAACCCTGTAGATAGAGTAAGAATGTCTTCAGCTTTGAGAGAGTTGATCAGCGAGCGACTAACTGCTGCTGCTGAAGAAATATTCTCGGAGTTTGAAAAAACCATCGTCCAGTACGAGGAAGAGATCGATCGTCAGCGCAGAATGCTGGATATCATCTGGAAACCACAGATAACGTTACACACGACAGGTATGTAGAACTGTGACGGTCTGGATGAACTAACTGATGAATAAGACTCATGTAGGATCCTCATCAGAGCTCTGAGTTACTTTTATTTGTGGCGTCACAGACAGACAGGAGGAATTTTAGCATTAAACACAACCTGCTTTATCTTGGTCAAACTGTCATGAAAGGAAAAGAAATAATCTATTTTGCAACTGATCTGTCTCTGCATTATTTTACTTTTCTGTACCCAATAAATTAACCAGTTTAGCTGCCTTGACCTGCTGAAATATCTTTAAAGGACCAAACCAACTCATGTAATGCGGTTTCCCATCAGACAAAAGGTGACTACAGCCCTACATTATGACTAAAATGTTAGAATGGCATCAAAATAACCAATATTTTAAAGATTACAGCACGTGAGATAATTGCAAAAGAGACTTTATTATTGAATATATTAAAACCCATTCTTAAATCATATTATCATACCTATGCACTGTAGGTTCTGTATATAAACAGGAATTTGAGACGTAACAAATGTCCATCCGTCCATTATCTATACACCGCTTAATCCTCACTAGATCACGGGAGGCTGGAGTCTATTCCAGTTGACTCAGGGTGAAGACAGGGGACACCCTGGACAGGTCACCAGTCTATCACAGGGCTACACTCAGAGACAGACAACCAAGCACACTCACATTCACACCTATGGACAATTTAGAATCACCAATTAACCTCAACATGTTTTTGGACTTGTGGGAGGAAAACGGAGAACTCACGCTGCACGGGGAGAACATGCAAACTCCACACAGAAAGATCCCAGGCGTCCTAACCGGGATTCTTCTAACTGCGAGGTGATGGTGCTAACCACCAAGCCACCTTGCAAACATATACAGCCTAAACATCTGAAACATTCCTACAATATTGCATGTCATTGTAAATGTCATGCACAGTTAACTGCAAATATTTTGGTTTGCTAATGTGTGATTAAATTGATTTACATGATTATTGAAATTCATTTTGTTTCTTGTCTTCTTGTAAGTTTTTGAGCTTTTTTTGCTTGTTGATGTTCAACCTGTATCTGTTTAACTTGCTGGTGTCCTGTGTTATACCTGCTTCCTGCTTTTTTAATCTATGAGTCTGTTTTTAGGTTAAAAGCAGCATTTCTTAGTTCCCCATCCTCTTACTGTTCCATTGTCAGTTTAATTTTAAAAATGGCTGTTAATGAACAACAGCTGATTTGACTTTCTGTTTCTGCTCACACCAACTATTAGCACTGCCTTTATGTATCAGGCTGTTGCCTTAATGCTCTGTACACTAAGCTTTGCTAACAAGTGTCAGACCTCAAGAGCCACACACACACGAGTGTCCTCAAATAGTTTCTCAAATTTTGCAGTTTAAGTTTCACATGTGACGACATGCCTGTATAGTAGGGCCCCGTTAATGGTTCAAACTAGAAAATAGTTGCTCAGAGTTGTGTTTTTGAACCATCCTATTAATTATCTTTTTTCTTGTGTGCCTTGTGCTTCCAGACCTCCCACAGCAATATGTGTGTAAGGAGGAGGAGGAGGAGGACCAGCAGCTCTGTAACCAGGAGAAGAACTTCACTGTGAACCAGGAGGACCAAGAGCCTCCACAGATTAAAGAGGAGCAGGAGGAACTCTGCAGCAGTCAGAAGGAAGATCAGCTTGCACTGAATCTGGAGACTGACACCTTTATGGTAACTCCTACTTTTGAGAATAGTCAACACAGTGCCGTGGCCCTCTCTCATTACGCTGCTGTAAATGAATCTCCATGTCAGGGTGGAAGCAAGCTCATAGACTCAGGATCAACTGGAAATGCAAAGCCAAAGCCAGCCAAGAAACATCACAGATACAGCAGTCACAGCAACAAGGTAGACGACACTGTTGTATCCAAGAGTCCGTGTAAAACTGGCACAGAATGTGATGTCTGTGGCAGAACTTTTAAAGATAAATACCAAATGAAGAGACATCACAGAATCCACACAGGTGTGAAACCGTATGCTTGCAACTTTTGTGGGAAAAGATTTCATCAGCTCTCATCAGCTAAATATCACATTAGAATCCACACAGGTGAGAAACCACATCCTTGTGAAACGTGTGGCAAAAGTTTCAGAACGAGTGATGCTTTGACCGTCCACAACAGGACTCACACAGGCGAGAAGCCGTATTCTTGCAAAATATGTGGAAGGTGTTTCACTCAAAATGGTAGTTTGACTGCTCACATAAGAACTCACACAGGTGAGAAGATGTATTCTTGTAGGACATGTGGGAAAAGTTTCATTAAAAGTTGGAATTTAAATATGCACATGAGAACTCACAGGTGAGAAGTCATTGTCCTGAAAATACTTGTAAGAACAATTACCGGTTGAAAGTATATAATTCAGAGTACCCTTAGACTGTGCTTCAGCAACGATCCTGTTTGTTTATTGCATGTCACACTATAAAAGATTCGTTGAATAAAATCTGGTTTCCAACTGTGTCAGCCTTCATCATCAATTTGAGGCCTGTCCAGTGGTGAGTTACGCTGTGGGTGATGAAATTAGAATTTGTTTTTTTTTCAGCCTGTATTTGCTTACATTGTGGAATGCGCAGTACAGCGATTTGTTCTTAAGTTAGTTTTTGTCCTTCACCAACTGTCACTGAACTACTCTGACACTGAAGAAATATTCAAGATTCTCAAGCAAGTACTGATTTGTTCCAACCCAAACTGTTTGAGAGTGATCTTTCTCTTTTCATGTGCAAATTGATTGTAAATCATCTTTAGAATCTACCAGCATAGCAGTTGAATAGTTTGTTTTTCATGGTATTTTATTTTACAAGTTTTCTCTGAAGTGATGTGTTTTATGTTTTTATTTTTTTTGAAAAGTAGAATGTCATAAGTTGGAAAAAAGACAAAGCTTGAAGAAAAGAGTAGTAAAATGTCTACTAAACCAAGAAATATGTGGTAGTTTGTTGGTTATTTGTTTCATGTTCTGAATTTACTAAAATGATCCTTTTCATAGATGTTCTGCGTTTTAAGTGAGTTTCTGTTGGAAAGCAAAACTTGTTTTACAATAAAAATAACCACAATACCTTTGCACTTTCTAGATGGTTTAATTAAGCTGCTATTTACATAAAAGGCAGTTTAAAGTGCATTTTACAGCTAAAATGTAGTCGCATAAAACTGCATTCAAACAGGTGATTTTGCACCAGTTATTTTTTCTGTATCAGGGCGAGTGAGAAATAGACTCGTCCATAGTCGTCTTCCAAAGGTTGTCTTTAGGGTTGTGTCATATTAAGCCAACCAAATGATATGACTGTTGAAAGTTTAACCAAAACTTTAAAACTTTCTCCAATGAATCATCAGAAAGCAAGCACATTTAGTCAACCAATTATTGTCTCTATGATTTTGCGTCATCGATATTAAACTGCTGCAGTTTGACTGTTCAAACTATCATACATCCCATCATACTGATGCTCAAAGTTGGTTGCAGAACAAATCCTGCTCAGCAATTAAGCTTTCGATTGTGACACCTGGATGGGTGTAAAACTGATCTGGTTGCAGTTTTAACCAGAACTCAAACGTGTTTTTCATCCTAAAATGTCATGTGTCTTTCTGCTGTACTGATGAAGTTCTGAGGCTCAGAACGGGCCACCATTTCCAAACCGGGCCTCAGCGGAGCATTTGAAGAACTTTTAGTCACCACGTCCTGTAGTCTGTGCCTGCCAAATTTCAGGTGTGTATGACGAACCCCCTAGGAGGAGTTCGATTTAGAAAATGGCCAAAAATGTTGGGTTTACAGAAACAGAGCTTACTGTTTGTGCTGACTTGATAGATCTGATTCAAATTGAATGAATGAGTCATCGGACTTTTTAGTCGAGACGTTCAGTGTTGGTTTGACTCTGCAGATGTGTATATATAATGTATAGAAAATAATGTCTATAATTATGAAAGTTTTTTTTTAATTTAAAAAACCGATAAAGTAGCTCTGCTTCTCTAGTTTCTGTCAACACATTTCCACTTGTTTCAGCTGTCAGGGTTGAATATGACCAGCATTAGGACCCAGGGCAGCTGTCAGCAGCAGTAAATTTAGCAGCTGTGTGTGTGTCTGTGTGTGTTGTGTTGATCGGAGCAGTTGGGGGTCACCAGGAGGCCTGAACAGACCGGATCAGTGTGAACCGTCCGCCCGTCTTAACGTTTTCCTCTGAAAAAGCAGCAACGGACTGAATCTGCAGGAGCCTGAAGATCAGCTGAATGTGAGTCTCGGTGTCCTTCATGTTCAGACTGTGTGATGCGTTCAATGACCACACTGATGATCTGTTCTGTCAGAGGCTGCAAATGTGACTCATTGAGATTCACAAGAACATTTATCACTGTCACCCTTACGCTGTCATTTATGGTTTTTAATTAACAAAATATACTCTAACCTTTCATCTGATATTGAACAGGTGCAGACAACAAATCATTTCAAATAAATAAAGAAATCAAACTGAAAAGTTAAATGATGTTTCTTCTGCATTTTTGGTTGTTGTTGTTTGTTTACGAGTTAAATTAATGTAGGTTTGGGATCACTATGTGTAATAGTCAACTGTTATCTATTCATCAGGCAATTTCTGACAAAACTGAAAGTTACACAAAAGTTTCAGGACCGTTTTTACAGTTTTTGGCTGATAAATTGTGTAACTTTTGTTTTTTTTTAAAAGATAACATGCCTTTCTAACTTACTGGCAGGTTGCGTGAATAATAACTCCTCTCTTGCTTTACTGAAATGCAACATGATGTTGCAGAGGAGGTCGGGGTGGATGGATGGGTGTAGCATCTGACCAGGGTTCACATTCTGTCTTCTTTTATGTATCATCTCCTGTTAATTTTAACCAACATACTTTAATTTCCCAAATGTGACCAACTTGTAGCCACAGAAAATGCTCACCTTAACCATTTTTGCAACAGTCATCCTGAAATGCTTGTTTTTCTGACCAGGCAGCATTTCCTGACTGAGTAAGGAAGCCTGCGAGGGTCAGTCTTTCCGCGCACTGACCAGGATGCTGCAGCTGTGTAAAGTCACCAGTGCTCTGTTCATCAGTAATGCCCGCTCGGCCTGCAGCGATGAGCTCATCCAGCAGGAGGCGGTGACGCTGTGCATCAACGTGTCCAAGCAGCAGCCGTTCCCCTCCGCCGGCATCACCAAGCTGCAGATCCCCGTCTACGATGACCCCAACGAGGACCTCTACAGCCACTTCGACCGCTGTGCCGATGCCATCCAGAAGGAGGCGAACCGCGGAGGTCGCAGTGTCGTCTACTGCAAGAACGGACGCAGCCGCTCGGCCACCGTCTGCGTCGCCTACCTGATGAAGCACCGCAGACTGACGCTGACGGACGCCTTACAGGTGAGGATGTTTAACCATTTATTATTCCTCAGTATTGATGTTGTTGTTGAACCAAAATACTTTAACCTCAAACCTCGATGTTTAACAGAAAATGTGAGTTTTGCCCTTCTTCGGGGAAAAATACAAATACCAGCCCACTACATTACAAAAAAGTCTTCAAAACACTCTTGTTCATTGTCAAGTTTTAGATACGGTCCATCTATTATCTATACACCGCTTAGTCCTCACTAGGGTCGCGGAGGGACTGGAGCCTATCCCAGCTGACTCAGGGTGAAGGCAGGGGACACATTCACACCTACGGACAATTTAGAATCACCAATTAACCTCAACATGTTTTTGGACTGTGTGGGAGGAAGACGGAGAACCCAGAGAGAACCCACGCAACACGGGGAGAACATGCAAACTCCACACAGAAAGATCCCGGGTGTCCTCACCAGGATGCGAACCGGCGACCTTCTAGCTGCGAGGCAACGGTGCTAACCACCACTCCACCTTGCAGCATAGTTTTAGATAAAGTGTAAGATGTAAAGCAACATAACGACTAAAAGACATTTTTGGCCCTATGTGCAGGGTCATTTGGTTATTCAGTGTTGTTTCTGTGTGAATATGGTGGCAATGGAGGATAATGGCTTCCTGGTAGCTTCACATCTGACGGCACATGTCCACAGGGGCATTTTTACACACTAGGCGATGCACTGTTTCCCAATATCACAGGCTTGATAGGCGGGTCACATGACAGGCACTTTACCTTCACTGGAAACCAGTCCTGTAGAGGTGCCAGACCAACATGGCGGCTGTTTAAATAAGCTATGCAGTTGCTGCATCTGTCCTCATTTTAGTTTAAAAACGGTTACTTTAGATTCCCGAGGCAGTGGACCACTGCTGGACGTGCCACATTTGCATAACGTTGTGAGGGGTGCGGGCAGCTAGCGGGCAATGCAATGCCTCATCGCTTGAAACACAATGCAGCACTACCAGAGTGCAATGCAGGGCGTTTTACATAGACAGTGAATGGAAAGTGTCAAACTTAGTTTTGTGTTGTTACTCAAAATTTCAGCACCAACAACAGTTTTTATATCCATTGCTCTTCGTCTGTCTGATTCTTCCTGATGAAGGTCTGAGGACCGAAACATCAACAATAAAGTGAGTCCAAGTGACTGATGAATTGCAGGGTCTTTGGTCTGTGAACGTCATTTCTGCTGATGATTTATTTGACTTTATTTTCCTGCTCCTGGCTGGACCTAGAATCACTGCAGATACTGTTATTAGCCAAACAGGCCTCGCTGTGCTGTGAGCTGCTGACCGTCCTACTGCCTGAAGGTCAGAAATGTGTCATATTGTGTTCAAGCTGCAGCGCAGAGGCTCATTTTCTGAAACTACAGCTTTTATTATCCAAGGTGCCCTCGACCTGACAGAGGAGCTGCACCAGAAACAACAACTCAGCCGATTGTCACTAAACACTGATGGTTTAATGACAACAGTTTGACTCTTCTGGACTGGTTTTGATTTGATGCTAAACTTGTTCCTGCAGCTGATTTTTACTCACCTTTCTTTAACTTGAATGGCTTAGACTGAACACAAAACCTTTACAGCAGAGGTGAAAAAAAAGTCTTTAGTGTTGCTTGCCAGTCCAAAAAGTATCTGAGGTTTTCTGATTTTAAATTCAATAGCACCATTTCTCAGCCAGAAACACCAGATTTTCAACATCCCTGACTGTCCTTGAACATGTCGTGTGCTGTACAGTTTGGCAGGAAAATTAACTCAAAATAGGTTTGAAATGGTGTCATTTCCTCAAAATTAATTAATTTTACATGTCTCATCTACATTTATGCCAAAAGTAAAGCGTTTGCACAGAACAAATCCTGTAGAAAACTAAAAAGTTTGAGCTCCTTGGTGCAACTGAGAAGCCATGATGACCCAGCTTTGACCAGAGTTAAATATTAGACAAAACGTTAGAGCTTTTATAGGCTGAACTGCAGGCAGTGTTTCCATAAAGCAGAGAGGAGACAACAAAATGGCTCAAAAATAGCATACAGAGGGGCGAGTTGTTGGAAGATATGTTGAGCATAGTGAAACATCTTTCTAAAGAAAAAGACCAGCAGCACTTATAAACTCCTAATTTCTTATATTTGTAACTTGATAAATGGTTCATGCAGTAAGTTTACATAATGATTCATCCTTCATATGTGACGTATGTTTAACAGGTTTATACACAATAAGTTTAGCTTCTTTCAGAGTATAACAACATGAAACCTGTTGATTGACACTCATCCTCGTTTGTGTTCCCAGAAAGTGAAGACGGCTCGTCACGTGATCGATCCGAACCCCGGCTTCATGTCTCAGCTGCAGAGATACGAAGAGGAGCTGAAGAGGAGACGAGAAAGATCCAACAGGTGAAGCCTTTCATGTCCACGGCTTCACAGTGATCCATCGCTGTTTGTCTCCATAACATCTGTTTAACATCCGTTCATCTCTTCGAGTCAAGACTCAAATGTCTGATTCAACGTGTAGATTCTGGCTAAAAGATGCCAACAGTAGTTCAACATCAGATATTTGACTGCTTGGGTCTAAAATGAAACACAATAGTAATAATCTAGAGGGGAAAATGCAGTTTTACAACAGAACATAACATAAATCGCAGAAACCGCACAAAAAACAAACGAGGTGGATGAAAAAAACAAGAAAAACTACATATTAAGAAGAAAAGTAGATAAAATGTAAAGGTACAAACTAGACATTTTGTATAAAAAAAAAAAAAACTGAGAAGAAGACAAAACTAACATTAACTTAAATAAAAATTAAAATGAACTGAACATGAACACTGTACCAATAGATTTGCAAAGTGCTTTAAAGCAGAAGGCAGTAGAACATTTATACAGTTTAAAAAAACAGATGAAATAGAACAGATACTTTAAAAATATGTGATTTCAGCTAAAAATGCAAGATTAGTGTTGCAGGTTGTGAGCAGTAGTTTATTCGACAGCAAATTAGTAAAATGTCTCCACTTAGAAATGCTAAGCTATTGTAAAAGACTGTGTGTTGTCCATCTGAAGGGGAGCAGATGCGAGATTGTGTCATGTGATTATTTTCTGGTGTAATCACTACATTTATAAAACAGTAAAATGGGCGTGTCAGTAAATGTTTCTCCTGCAGCAAACATAGATATGGAAATCCTATTTTTTACTTGAAGAACTTAAAATGGTGAAAAAAATTAAACCGTGATTGTAGCGTGAGGCAGCTGAGAGTCTTTCTGTTTTTGTTAGAGGAATTCTTCATGAATTTTTACGACGTCGGGGCGCTAATTAGCATTTTTTCTGACATCATCTTGTCTTATTTGCATTCTGCCGAGGATTAACCATGCCTGACATCTGTTAGCTTCTCTCCTGCTCTCTGTGCTCACAGAAACTGCATTTTATTACAGCTGAATTCACAGTAAAGCTGTTTTTATTTACAGATGTTTCTGTTTCTGCTGTCAGACAGCACAACAAATATGAAATAGTGACTGAAGCTCATTCGTCGACGTTAACCAGCAGTCACTTCATTTCCAAGAGCACAACTGCAAAATTTTGAACACGTGTGCAGCTCATTCAGGTCCTAGCATCTGATCCACTGAATCAGTGAGTCTGGATCTCTTCTACAGAAAGTAGCTGAGGTGTTCAGATCACAGCATCTGATTTTAATAGTTCATCAGTTTCTTGATAATCTGCCTACAATTTCCTTGTCTGTAACTTGTACAGAACCATTAACCACCATTAATTGCAAACACAATTTGAAACAATTTGAAACGCAAAGGCTGTAATTTCGGATATCTGAGTTGTGCCTATTAAATAATTAGAATAATGTTGTAATTCCATTTTATTTAACTGGAGCATGTTAAAAGTTTCCCGGTTCATCGTGCCTCTGTGGTTCCACTGATATAAATATTTTGTTGCCACATCTTATTTTTTGTACCACATCTGACTCAAAGTTTAAACTGTCGTGTTGATGTGGTTTTACTAATTCATGTTGTCTTTCTTGTGTGACACTCAGACATTCAGTGGTGTATCATTTGGTAATGCTCCATGTTTTAAATCGAATACACAATGAAAATTGAACTGAAGCTTGATCTTTAAAAGATTGGCATTTACATATTTACTTGTGCTTCATATACCTATACCAGCGGTGTATCCTACCACACAACCCCAAAGCAGAATATTTCAGCCGGCAGAGAGTTATTTTCTTCAAACGCTGCTCCTTTAAGATCATAATTTCCAAACAGTTCAACTTGAACTCCGTCAGTTTCTAAAACCACTCTGGCTGATCCAGATGTTGTTTTTTGCAGACGTCAGTTGTTGACTTTTGCGATGAAGTTGCGTCTAAGATCTGTATATTTGTGGACCGGGTCAGCTGAATTGGAGTTGCCCTTCTTGGGATCAGTAAAGTCTGAATCTGACTCTTCTGGATCTCCAAAATTTATCGACTGTTCATCATATTTTTTGGCTTTGTACAATCCAAACATGATCGATCTGGGATTTTGACGTTTAAAATACAGCCCATGTTGATAAAATCCCTTAAACTGACATTAGTACGCCTTATTTCACTGTTTTCAAAGTAATTTTCGGTCTCACATCTGTCTGAGCTGCTGTAAGAACTGACTGGAGACTAGAAGCTTCTCTGTGCAAAGTGTCTACAGGAAGCTGCATCTAAGGTGCTCTGGGGTTCAGTTTTATTTAAACTTTGCCTCAAGGAAATGCTCTGAATTTTTATTTTAATGGAAAAACTTGTACATAAGCAGGAATTTAGTGCAATATGAACATGAAAGCAGACCTCTATTTAGATGTTGTTGCCCCTAAGATGAATGAAAATTCATGATAAACATTTAAAGAAAGCTTTGTTTCTCAATGTGTGTTTGCTGCAGGAGTTGTATTTACCTTTTTTCACTTTCAAAATGTAATTCAGCCTGAAAAGTCCTTAAATTCGACCAACGAATCAAAACCTAAAAGCTTCTGTTTAGAATCAAATGTGGCAACAGCCTACTAAAAAAACAACAAGCCATATCTGACCTTAAATTGATTCATTATGTAAATACCGTAAATTTCTGTTTATCTTCTAATTGATTGACTAATGACGCCATATTAATTAAGTGCTAAAAGAGGCCTAAAACATGGTTTGAAACAAAAAATAGGAAAAAAATACTGTTTGCTTGAATTATTATTTTTTCTCTGGACTGTAAACCTCCATGTTTCTGTAGCAGTTTATCTTCTGGGCTCAGTGTAACTGCAGTTCCAGCTTTTACCTCTAGGAGGCACCATTTTTATAGAAATTGATGTCAGACTTTAATTTGATGAGACGCATAAAGACTCAGGGTGACTGTACATGACACAAACATACGATTCTCTAAAATCAACCCTTCTGACCCAGTAGGATTTAATTAATAAAAACTGAAGCACACAAATACAGTTTGATCATCAGTGTGTTCGTGTGTGAACTCATCCGTTTTCTAAAACTCAGACTTCAGGTAATCTGAGGAATCTCAGTCTGTCTGGTTCCAGGTCAGTTTTTACTGTCTGATGTCAAAGAGAAAGTCAGACAAGAATGATGCTTCACTGGAGGTTTGACCTTTCAATATTTGTGCATATTTCTGAGTTTAAGACTCCGCTCGCCCACACAGGTGTCTCCAGTCACCCGCACCTCTCTGTGAGTTTAGTTTAACCTGTTGAAGCAATTTATACTAAATCATTTCTTTCTTTATTTTTTTCTTTACCAAATAACCTGCACTATATCCAACAAGGCTCCTTCCCAGCTTTACCTGAGCAGAGATATTTTCCAGACAACATCACCTAAATTTTTCTCATAATTTCCTAAAAATTTACTGCTTTTTGGCTGCAAACTGCAGGATTATTTTTGAGAGAGCTCTGCACAGTTTGGTGTTAATCATTTGAAAGTGGTAGCCATCATTATTAGGTGACTATCTGCTTGTTACTTTTGAATTTTTCAGGGGGAAAAAAGGAAGTCGAGTACATTAATAAGATGATGAGCATCCAAATGTATTGTAGATCAGCTGTAGTACCTGGTTGTTCCACTGGGTGGAGCCTCTTACCATTTAATGAGATGGAAGCCAAGGGTTTGTTTCCTCCATTTAATACTGTAACGAATGCAAGTAGAAAGAATCAAAGGAATAGTCATGCTCAAATCCAAATTGTTCTGAGTAGTTTTGTGATTGTTTTTCAGTTGTGTTTTGGTTGTTGTGGATGGTGAGCTAGTTTTTAGTGATTGTGTCTCAGAGAGCATTATGGGGGTTTGTCTAGCTACGGGCACCATGCAGAGACTTCTGTAACAGTTAATGACTGTCAGACAGATTTCTTGTGTAAAATCAAGGTCATGTATATTGTGGCGGTCATGTATTTGTGCATTTATTGATTTTGAGGTGGCTTCAGTGTTATGAATAAGGCTGCAGTTACATGAACACAGTTGTAGGATCCTTGTTTGTCACAATCGTGTCACCAGGCAAATAGGATGATTATTAGTACTACTTTCTGTCTGATATTTACAGTGTTAAAGGTTTGCTCCACCGAATAGTGCTTTCTAACTAACGGGTTAGTAGTTTAGAAGTTCATTCAGCACACTGTATGATAATCTGTACTTTATTTACTAATGTCTGTGGACTTAAAAAGCTAGCTCTGATTTAGAGTAAACAAATGCAACTCTACAACTGCGATCATGAAAATGCACATCCTCTGCTGCAGACTTACAGCACTTGCTGGCTTGGTCATGAACATCAAGTATTCACCGTTAAAAAATGCCCTTATCAGCACATGAAGAAACATTCACTGTAAGTTATTTGCTTTAACGACTAATTGATTATTGATTGATAATGCAGCCAGCCATCAATTTGCAGCCTGGTAGCAAAGTAAAATTGTCGACCTTTAAAACAGTAGTGTGAATTTTTTCTTGGTGGTGGTAAAATTAAAAAAAAAGACAAAATGACAAAACAGGGCACACACAAAAAAAACACAGAGATACAACATATTTTATTTTTTTTTATGGAAAGCACAACTTCATCAGTTAATTGCTACATTACTATAAAAGCAGTAAACTGCATTAATATTCACTAAGAACTAAATCTACCTGAGCTGATCAGAGCAGACAAAAAAAATACTGGCAGCATCTGTTGGGGTAAACAGAGACTTTTCAGTTTTAAAAGACAATAAAAACAGTGTTTCACAGCGTCACCTGCAACACTTTTGAATTGTTAAATTATCTTTAAAATACCAGAAATCATCTGGGTCTAACATTTACTATTTTTTTTTTTTTTAATTTAGTGTTATTTTTAAATGCTTGTACAGAAACAGATTTTTAAATAAACATACCTCATGAAATGTCTTAAACTGTGCTTAAAATAAATCTAAATACTCAGGTTAAAATATCAAGCCAGTAGGTAACACATTAAAGTCAATATGCAGAAAACAGTTTAATGAGCAGCAGCGTATCAGCATTGCAGAATAAAATGTATTTGCACAGCTGTGGAGATGTTTCAGCAGAGTTGAATGTTAGCCCAAACACAGTTTCCGGAGTGAACTGTGACCTTTAAAGCTGCTGC